CGCAGCAGCCTCTCCGCGAAGAGCAAGCTCGCGCAGTGTGGACACGCCCTTGGAACGGAGGCGCGCGGCCTGCGTGGGGCCCACTCCAGGGAGCTGGAGCAAGGTGTCCGCGTCTTCCCATGCCGCCTTTGAAAGAGGGGTTGGGGGTGGTGGATAGAGGAACGGGGGGCAGAACGGTCTTGTCTGAGATAAACACCTTCTTGGCTTGAACATCAGTCAGAGGCGCCTCCGTGAGCCAAACCCAATGCACGGCCACGTTTACGCGCCGTCTGTTCCAAACAATTCCGGGAAAAAAATGGCGCACCTGAACCACCATTTGGTGCAGGCAGAGGAGTCCAAGCGTGGTGTCCAGGAGGCCGAAGCCGGCGGCTATGTCGAGCATGGCGTTGATGACGCGGACGGCCTGGTCGAGCACGCTCCTTGTATCCGTCACGTAGTCCGAGATCGGCAGCGCGCACCGGTCGAAGTGTGCCTGCAACGCGGTTGTTGTTGTTGTTGTTGTTGTTGTTGTTGTTGTTGTTGTTGTTGTTGTTGTTGTTGTTGTTGTTGTTGTTGTTGTTGTTGTTGTTGTTGTTGTTGTTNAGCGAGCAACTGGTGCATGGTTTGGTTGAGCCTGTTCCCCCCGCCCGTCGTGTTCGTTGCAGGCGTTTCCGTATCTGTTGTTGTTGTTGTTGTTGTTTATGTTGTTGTTGTTGTTGTTGTTGATCTCTATTCAGACCCTCACGATCTACTCTTCCTGTGTCGCGTGTATTCGATACTCATATGTTCAGCCAACTCTTGCCACAAGGACGGGTGTTCCTGCGAGACGGCGGGCGAGGGATGCACCTGCGTCGACCACGTCCATGTCAAGAACAGCAGTGTCGGCGGTGAGCTTGTTCTTGTTGATCAGTCTACCTCCAGAAGTATGTTGTTACTGTTGTTGTTGTTGTTGCTGTTGTGTTGTTGTTGTTGTTGTTGTTGTTGTTGTTGTTGTTGTTGTTGTTGTTGTTGTTGTTGTTGTTGTCGACGCGAATATTTCCTCGCGTATGCTCATCGTTTTCAGTGAAATTACTCCCCCGCCTGTTGTATCGGTTGCAGGCGAGAACGCCATAAAGAAGAGAAAGGAAGACATGGCTACGTTTATGGATGATAGCTCCCGCGGAGGTGAGTTTCTCTTCGCGTGTTGTTGTTGTTGTTGTTGTTGTTGTTGTTATTGCTCGCGGAGTAAATTATAATGCCGCCAAAGCGTGCTATTTGACTTTTGGAATGAAAATTTGACAGTCGATCGAACAGAACGCGATGCCTTAAGAGCGAGCAACTGGTGCATGGTTGAATTGAGCCTATTCCCCCCGCCCGTCGAATATGAATCCTGCCAATGCGTGTAACTGCCTCTGGATCGAAGCTAAATTGTGATATTGGTACTTTAACAGTCGATCGAACGCGATACCTCAAGCGCGCAGCCGTTGCATGAGTTGAGTGAAATAACTCCCCCGCCTGTTGTTGTTGTTGTTGGTAATGCTTGTCAATGCTCGTTAATGGTTGTTGTTGTTGTTGTTGTTGTTGTTGTTGTTGTTGTTGTTGTTGTTGTTCGTAATTCATAGGAAATGGTGACGAACCGGTCTCATTCATTCAGAAATTCATAAACCCTCCAGCTCACAACGACTGAATGGCTCGCAGTTTCCCACCTTTGCTCATCTTTTTTTCCTTTGGTCTTGCACGGTTCGTCTACTATCTCCATGCAGGCGCGGCCGGAACGCTCTACGGCCGCGAAAAGGGGGACGACGGCAGATCCCTCTCATCGGAACACGGGGCTTCTATGCGCCCCACCGACACCTCGGCGCAGTGGGTGGACCACGCTTTCGAGGAACCCCTTCAGGCAGAGGCATCGACGTGCTCCAACTGTGAAGAGGCCAGAGAGCTTTCGTTGTTCTTCTACGGTGGGGGGACGCGCAGAGTGATGGTACTGGACCACATGGTTGGCAAACACAGATGCAACAAGCACGCCAACAAACCCCGTGGCGTGTTCAAGCCTAGTGACGAGAAGGTGAAAACAATCACCGATGATGGCCTCCTCAAGGCAGTCAGGAGGGAGGCGAAGGGGGTGGCCAAAAAGGCGTCGGGGGGAAATTAGTTCAGGAGGGTGGCAGGTGTTGCCCTGACGACAGTTGAGACAGATGGGTCGCGCGTTTTGATCGCCGGTAGCCTGGTCGAGAGTTGGTCACGACGATGTGTCCACACTTTGGTGGCGTGTCATAGACGGGGGCTGGCCACAGCCTTCCTGGGTAGACGGGAGACCATTCAGTTTTGTCTGTTCCCTCGGGCGATTGAAACGACGCGGTTTGTCACCGGGCAACATCACCTTTTTTGGCGTACTTGTATATTGGATGTTGTTGGTGGTGTGAAGTGTGAATTAAGCAAGGAAAATAGTCGGCAGTGCGTATTGCCGTAGAACCATCCGCCCCGTCATTTCTGCTCCGTCCGGAGGTGTGGCAGAGAGAGATGTTTTTTTTCGTTTTCCATCATCCTTTACTCCGTTGTGTATACAGTTTTAGTCAGCAGATCCGGCGTTTATATATCCTCACTCGGAGGTGGTTTTGAAAGTTGCTTTACCATTTCTTGTCATCAATTTTTCCGTTGCGTAAATTTTAGGTCGGTAGATGCAGTGTGCACTGGCTCTACCGGGGTAGCCCAAAAGCTGTTGTTCTGGTTTTGGGAATCCTCCTTCTTGTGTGTGTGTGTGTGTGTGTGAAAACTGTGTGTTTGTGCAACACAAAGCCCCGATCAAAGTAGAGAAAAGAAAGGTGTTTTTCCCGGGGTGGTAGTCTCAGTCAATAGGACGTGTTTGAACATTTTGTTTCATACACAAGGCATGAGTGGTGGCGGTGTGAAAATTTGTGTGTGTGTGTGTGTGTGTGTGTGTGTGTGTGTGTGTGAAAACTGTGTGTTTGTGCAACACAAATCCGCGATCAAAGTAGAGAAAAGAAAGGTGTTTCTCCCGGGGTGGTAGTCTCAGTCAATAGGACGTGT